CCCTCTTCCTCCTTCTCCCCTTCTCTCGGCCGGTCTCTCTTTCCCATGGCCCGGGGCGGCTGCCTGGTCTGACATTCGTTCCCCCTGTGGGCGGTAGTTTGCTCGCTGCCTCACTGGCATCGGCGAGGCTGCCTTCATCTGCCTGTCTCCCTCGTTGATCGATGACATTGCCCCGCCGTCGGCCCGCTCGCGTTGGCTGGCGGTCTTCTTCTCCATGCTTTCCATCGGCTATGCGCTGGGGTTCCTGGGTGCCGGCATCATCGCCAGCTTGGCGGGCTGGAGCTGGGTCTTCGCCACCGAGGCCCTGGTTACCCTGCCCTTCGCCATTCTGTGCTACTGGCTGCCGAACATCCGGGGCCTGGAGCTCGGCGGCGCGGATGCCACCAAGCCGGAGATCGCCAATGCCACCGGCGCCGATACCCCCCCGCTGGCCTTTGATGAGGGTCTGGCAGCCGGGTCTATCAACGGCGGCTCGGCCACCGCCGAGGGCAAGGAGTATGCCGGTGCCATTGACCGGTATTCGGCCACCGACGCGGCCCGGGTGCCGAATTACGACGACATCCTGGCCGGTGATGCGCTGGTGGCCGGGGCCACGGCCGCCACGCCGACCGCCTCGGCGGGCCATGCTCCGGACGCCAACAAGACCTTCATGCACTCGCTGCGCCTGCTGGCCAAGAACCCCATTTACATCCTGATGACCCTGGGCTACTGCGCGCAGACCTTCGTCTTCGGGGCCCTGTCCTTCTGGGTGCGTATGCGTCTCTTCATTTTCCTCCGCCCGCCCCCCCCCCTGTCGGGCCTCCGCGCCATGACAGACGCCAGCGCCTTCATCCGGTTCTTCCACCGGCCGCGCGTCCTGCTGGCCTTCCTGTGCTTCCTGTCGTTGATGAACTACTACGATCGCGGTGCCTTCATCGGGGTGATGCCGCTGCTGACCGAGGAGTTTGGCTTCTCCGATTCCGAGGCCGGCCTCATTGGCGGGTCCTTCATCGTGGGTTATGCGCTGGTGTCGCCGGTGGCCGCGCAGCTGAGTCGCTATGTCCGGTCCGGCCCGCTGCTCATGGTCGGCATGCTTGCTTGGTGCATTGCCACTGGCATGTGCTTCTTCGCCAATGGTTTCTGGTTCCTTATGGTGCGTATGCATGTGTGTGTGTGTGTGTGTGTGTGTG